CTGTTAATGTAGGGGCTCAAAATGGAAATGTACTTTAGGAGGATGGCTATAGTCCAATAAATTTAGATGAAACTTACAAAAAAATGTCTTTTTTTTTTTTTATATACAAGTCAATTTTGTTTATGCAAATTAATAATAAATTTATATTGTAAAATGTAAATAAGTGTTGTGTAATTTTACAAGGTATGCCTTAATTACATCCTTAGTTAAATTTTGAAAATTTACCATCTGTATAAATTAATTATAATTATTATGAAGGCAACAATAAGTTTTTTTTTACTTTAAATTTTATTTTTGATAAAGCCAGCAAAAGTACTTGAAAGGCGTCATGCGTCATGCATGCAGTGTGGAATAGTTGAAGAAAACTACAACTTAGTTTATATTTTAATATGGTTGGTGTTAAATTTTTTAATGAATGCTGGATCTACTTTTAATTAATGTTCAGTTGGGGTGGGGAATGAGAAATCAGACATGGGTGGTTCTTTTTGTTCTCAAGTCAATGTGCATGTGAGACAATAAATTTAGAACAAGGGGAGAGCAATTAATTTATTAGCTAGCTATACAATATGATTATTGAAGTATAATCAGAGAATCAGAGACTAAATTCTATAGTTAGTACAAAATAGAGTTTAACTTATTTGTGGAATTTGGGGAAGGACCACTTAAGTACCATATAATTCTAGCTAGGACACCAAAAATTAAGTCTCAATGGAAAATTAACCAAAAATGTATTCAATGCATGAGGTTTATCATTGAAATGTTAATGTATGGCATATGTGTTGAGGGTTGTTGTGTATGTTAGGAGGGTGGGACACTAGGGGATTGGATCTAAGCTAAGCTTGCTAGTTAATCGACATACATTAACTTAAGAACATCTTAAACAAATGAAAAATATACATTGCATAGCATTAAATTAAGAACTAAGCTATTATTTCATTACAATTGTGGAGCAAGTTTTCCTCTTAATTTTATGTCTCGATACAATATCCCTCTAGTATGAGAATATTCCACATCAATTAGTACTCTTCATCATATACCAAGTCTACACTCATTTGTATAAAGTCTTTAAAGGAGTCACCAACATACTCATATATATCAACCTATCTTGACAATTGTAGACATTGTTAAATAATGGGAAAAATAAATCACATCAATCAATATCATTTGAGCTAATTAAGACAAATTATCATCTTTAATAATACTTATTAATAATTAAGAATGATGGATGATAAAAGTTGAGCCTGATACACTAGTTGTTAAACACCAATCAAACTAAAAGCTCAATTTATTGATGTATAATGGGCCCTCTACCAATAACTATATAGAACTCAATAAGTATTTCAATTTTGAATTTAGATTAGTTTTAACTTTCTTATGCATCTCAATATACATCATCCTTATATCTACATTAATTAAATAGAATTGGAGTTTTTTTACTGCTAATCTTTTGAAGCTTAAATATTTTAGGGGTAAATCTTTTTGGTCTACTTACTTTAACATTGAGAATGTTTGTTTTAATTATGTTGGTTGACCATCCTATTATTTTTTATTGGAGAAAGCTGGTTTTGAATCAAGTTAAGATTTGCATTGATGGTTATGTGAACGATGTTGTTGGTGGTTGTGGGGGTGTTATTTGGGATACCAATGGTTCTTTTGTTCATGCTTTTGCTTCTCGTATCCTCAACTGTAATGTGATTATATATGGTTGAAATGCATGCCCTTTATCAAGCTCTTCAGATTCGTGTTTCTAACCAGTAGAGGAAATATGATTGTTGATTGACTTGCTGAAAATGGGGCTTCTATATCTAATTAATTTACTTATTATAACATGAATGATCTTCACGATCTTAAGGGATTAATAAGGATGGATGTTACTGCTTTTCCTTTCTTCACAAAGGGTTGATTATATCATTCTTTTTTTTTTTTGCTCCAGCTAGTAAGTTTGTTGGTTTTGCGGGTCACAACTCTCTTCTTAAGGGATATTATGCTCATGTTTTATGTTTTTGGTTTGGTAGGTATCTTTATTGAGTCCTTCAGTCTTGGTCTTGACTAGATGTTGGATTTTGTGTGGTTATGGGCTTCTCCTATCATAGTTAGTGATGGTTCTCGCGCCACAAATTCCAACTATTGTTTGGAGATTGGAGTTTGGTTGTATTTGGATTTCTCTTTATACGTTTGGCTATATTCTGGTGTAGGATGCTCATTTGCTTTTTCGTGAGCTATATGTTATATGATGTTTTGGCTATATGTGTGCTTTCCCTGGTTTCCTTAATTTGATTGGTGCTCTCCTTTTTTTTTCTTTTCTGTGGGTCTTCTATCAGCTCTCTCATGTTGTTTTACTCTTTTTTTTTTTCAAGTTCTTCAAGGTATCTATGGGCTTTTTTCACAAAGTTTCATGGTTGGCATTCGATCTTGTCGGACTTCTTCTTAGATCCTTTTGCATTTCCTCTAATTGACTGGATGCAAGTTAATGTTGCTTTATTTCCTTCTCCCCGTTTGCATTTTTTTTGTTAGTGCGCTTCATATTTTATTATTTGTTATGGCTATGAGTGTTTCTTTATCAAATTTTGGGGTTGGCTTCATGCCTGCACATAGTTTTTTTTATAATTTAGTATTGAATCCTGTAGCATATTAGTTTATTTTCTTTCTTATTGTAGCTCTTTGAGCATTAATTAGTGTATTATGGATTCCTTTAAGGATTGTGTAGTTTATTAATGAACTCTAGAGCATAATACATTCAAATAAAATATTGTTCTAAACCCAACCTCCATGAAACAATAATATGCCATGCATCAAAATTTTCCCAAAGAAAGCATGCTCTCTATTCAACAGGGGATTCATTTTACAGTAAGATTTGAGTACTTTTTCAATAGCATATGATGAGTTATTTAATTTATTATTAACAGAAAATATATGATAAATTCTTTATTTTGATTCATATTCCAATAAGGCTTATAAATTTTTTCAATAACATGAATGTTATAAATATAATTTTAATTATAGGATTTCTTATGATCTATGCTCCAAATTATTGAGTATTGGAACATAACTCCTACAAAGAATTCATTGATCATTAAGAATTCCTCCTCCTCATCATTCCTTCTATATTGAATTAATGATAAAGACTTATGAACATAAACCACATTAAGAACTAGATGATGATAGTTATGAAGTTTCTTATAGAAATTTTTATGAGGAAGTATTTCATATATGATTTGAGTTCAAGTATTGGACAAAATTCCATACATATTGAATTAGTAATTTGTTAATCTATATCATGTTATATTTTACTAATGTGTAAAAATTTGTTGAGGATGTAAATATAATATATAAAATGGATATTTTTAGGTAAATATATTATATGAATTTCATTTAAAAAAACATATGGTATAAATTATTTTTAGTTATTAAACTTAACACTATAGGAAAAACGCTGAAAACCGGCGGTTAGTATAGATTTACCGGCGGTTTTTAAAGTTACCGGCGGTCTAACGGCGGTTTGTGAACCGCCGGAAAAAACGGCGTAGGAAACCATTTCCGACGGCTATTTACCGGCGGTTTATTTTTGCGGCGGTTTTCCGGCGGCCAATACCGCCGGTGACCACCGGAATTTTAACCGTCGGTCGGCCGGCGGTTAGGCCGCCGGTATTGTAACCGCCGGAAAACCGCCGGTCAAATTACCGGCGGTTATACCTGGCGTCGTCTCGTTCATTAGACCGCCGGACGACGCCGTTAGACCGCCGGTCGGCGTCGTTATAGTCCGACGGCTTAACCGCCGGCGGAGCCGTCGGTAATACCGACGGTCTATAAACCGCCGGTTAAAACCGCCGGTATTTGCCATTTTTCCTGTAGTGTAAGGTTGATTAACACTTATTTTTGACATGTCAATATAGAACATATAAAAACATGTTTTTTTTAATATAAATATGGAAGTATACTGTTTAAAATATACATAATTTAGAAGTTAAACTTTTTCTATTTATGTGTTTTTTTTAAAAAATACTGAGAAAAGAAAGATGATTTTCTTGTGCATTCTCATAAATGGCTTGATTAGGCAATTCAATGAAACTTTTAGATTAAATGTAAGAGATATTATTATTTGGGGAATAAGTGTTCACTTAAAATTAAAGAGCAATAAATTTATTCTCAAAAAAATTAAAAATCAAGTCAAAATATAATAAATACCAAGGCTTCGTTTGGAGCTGCTTTCTAAAGAAATTTAATTAGTACAATTAAAAAACTTTTGAACTAGAAATTTTTGTACAAAAAAATTATTTTTGAAAGCGGTAAAAAAACAGTCTCAAACGAAGCCTAAACCACATGCAACTATATATGTTCTATACTATGTATTGATTTAATATTAAACTTTTAGTTTAGTAAAATATTATATTAAAAATTCAGCTCCTCTAAGATCTAAGATCAAGTGTAGTCATTAGTACATATATTTATAAAACAATGAAACTTGCTTATGAAAAAATATCTGAGTCCATGAAGGTGATAATGTGTTTGATGTCGGTGAATGTTGCACATCATCATCACCTAATTATATTAAACTCTCCCCAACTGAAATGGTAGATAGACAGAGACAAACATGTCAAGCTGGGTGTCATTCCTTCTCATCAATGTAATCCTAACTCAATCAGCCAACAAACATACAGATTGATGTGATATCTCCCCACTCTCTCTCTCTCTCTCTCTCTCTCTCTCTCTCTCTCTCTCTCTCTCTCTTCCTGTTCCTGCCTTCAAAAGTGAACAAAGTTGAGAACCCAAAAGGCTGAAATGAAGCAAAGAAGTAAAACACAACCACTGAACGCCCTATTTAATTCTTCTCAGAACAGCATCAGCATGACTGTACTGCCTCACCCCCACTTTGCTCTCTTCTCCTTTCTTCTCCTCCTCACATCCCTTTTGTCTCTTGTGTCGTCTCTCTTACACTTCGTCTCTACATATAAATATTGCATTACCAATATACCAAAAACCAAAACTAGAATAGAAGGAAGATGCCTCAAGTTCCATCAACAAGATGGTGTCCTACACCAGAGCAACTTATGATACTCGAAGAGATGTATAGGAGCGGAGTTAGAACTCCAAATGCTTCTCAGATTCAGCAGATCACTTCTCACTTATCTTTTTATGGAAAGATAGAGGGGAAGAATGTGTTCTATTGGTTTCAGAATCATAAGGCAAGAGATAGACAGAAGCTTAGAAGAAGGCTTAGCAGGCAACAAGTGCAAGTTGCTTCTGCTTCTCTTCCTCCTCATCCACCTCCGCAGTTCTTTCCTCATCTGTACCAGCCGCACAATCCTCAGTTTTTTCACCAGGTTTGAACTTATTACTGCTGCGTCTGTTCTGCTGTGTATTGTTTTTACTAAAACAAACGGCTACTTTTTTATTTCTTTTCTTCTTCCTTTCTCTGCATATATATAAATTCTAACTCTTGCTATGTAATTAGAGAGAGAGAAGGTTTTCAATTTTATAAGTGAAAATTGTTTTTTAATCTTTTTAATTTGGATTTGTTCTTTCGAAAAGATTTGAAGTTTTGCAGGGAAGAATTCTAGGGTTTGCGCTGTGCCTACTGCTAGCCATATTTCTAGGCATCCTTGGGTATTCCAAGGCAACTAGATGATTTATTTAAATCTGAGGCTTTGCTTAGAAATGATTTTTTAATTGTCACGAGGCTAATTAATATGTTTTTCAAACATTCGGTACATTATAATCTAAAGTTTTTTTCTAAAAAAAAATGTAATTAACACGTGCCTCTAATATAATCCTTTAAATTTACACAAATTCCCTTCCAGATAATTAACCATTATGAAGCAAGAAATGATCACTCATTTGCATAGAGAATGTTTTTCTCATGACACTTAATTATATATAGATATAACGGTTGAATAATGTGATTATTTTTATATAGTTCAATCATATAAGCTAGAAAACTTTTTATAAAGTTAGTTTCATTTGGGACAGCTTTTTGGCTGCGTTCTACGACTGTTTTCTAGCTAGTAAAAAATTGCAGAAAAACAACAAAAATAGCGATCAAAAAAGCTTTTTCAAACAATTCTCCAAGTATTTTAACATAAGAATATTATTTATGTGAGCTGTAGGGAGGAGGATTTCAGGAGCCAAGACAAGGCTTGGATTTACTCCGAAAGCTGGAGACCTGCTCCAGCCGAGAAGAGGCATCGCCGAGCGGCGCATCGCCGGCGTCGATATATGGCTGTGAATGGGCAGCCATGATCTCCGGCGAGTCATCAATGTGTTGTCACTCATTGAAGACGTTGGAGTTGTTCCCAACCAAGAGCACTGGGCTCAAGGAGGAGAGCAGCACTTCTAAGTCCTCATGCTCAGCTTCCACCAACTAAATACAAGGCCTATATATACTATATTTCCCTTATGTTGTAGTTTGCTTTTTCTTCTTCTAGTGCTTTTTCGTATTAGTTAACGTTAAGGGTAGTACTTTTGTAACTAATAAGATCGATATGTATGGTGATATGATCTACCTCTTTCACTTCTAAGTTTTCTTCTTTCTAAATTAGTAGATATTTATAGTTCATGAGGCTTAATTTCTTGTTCTCTTTTCCTGTTCTTTCTCCCAGGCATATCAATGCAAAGAGATGAACATCTCTCTCTATCGATCTATCTTTATAGCTAAAAGCTGCCAAGGGATTGTTAAAAAAATGTTAAGTAGGTTTTATTGTTGCCTAACAAGTGAAAGAGAGAAGAATAATGAAGCTACACCCTTCTTTAGTTTATTATGGGTGATGCACATCGGATAGTTACTCAGTAAGGAAAAGGCTTTGCACCTGCCGGCTGTTTATAGCTTGGTGATCAATCCTTTTATTAAATCGAAAATGTTTGTATCTCACATCATAGATTCAGACTTTGTTTCAGATAGCTTAATTTAGACAGGGGCGGAACCAACCATAATTTTTAGAGGGGACTTATAAGTAATTGTTCGCATATATATCGGGGTTCCAAGGGGGCAGCGCCCCACTGACGGGGTTCGACCTGCGTGGTCAGGTCGCGTGGTCAAGAGACAGCGCCCCCGGAACAAATTTTGATTTACTATTTCTTTTTGTATTTGTTTCATCATTCCCTAACAATAACACATATACATAATGTATTTAATTATATTATGGGCAATTGTCTAAAGTCTATAGTATTTTAACATTTTTATGGGGGTAATTACCTAAAAATTAATTCTTATAATAAAGACTAAAAATTATATAAATAATAGTATAATGAAAAAAAAAGAATTCAGGTAGGAACAAAGGGGTTCCGCCCCTAACTTTAGACTACTATTTTTTCTCAACTTTTAAGAAATTTTTTAATTAAAAAGCTGATTTACAAAGCAGTTAGAAAGGCGTCCCAAACGAAACCTAAATAGATCTGAGAAAGGGAAATGACCACTTATAGTTAATTTGAGGATGTGGCAAAGCTTTTATATTTTAAAGTTTTATTTAATGGTTTGCCAGATGAGAGTGTGAATTAAGTCTCATATTTAATAGTTGAAGAAGTGTATAATGATGTGAAAATATTAATAGTTTAATCTAATAGCGTATCAATCATAATCCTAATCTATTATCTTAATATGATTAAGTACATTTGATCTTAATTGTATCATCTCATTGTCCTGATAATTTACCCTTCATCAATGAGATATAATAGATGATGTGAGCTATTCCATGAGAGGAAAATATGTGCAATATATGAAACTATTATATTTAATCATAAATCTTATTATGAATTAAATATTGTTATAAATATAACAATAGAAATCCAATGTGATGTCTGTCAAATGCAATTATCTCAGATTCAATAACCCTCAAATATATAGACATGTATCCTTTTTTTTTATTGTGCAAAATATATTGATATAACACAAAATAAAATTAGAATAAAATATATTAAGAAATAGTATAGGTCATTGATTATGGAGGAAATTTAGTTTGATGAGCAATATTAATTTCACCTATAAACTTAGAAGTTTAAATTATGCCAAAATTCTAATGATTATGTATAACATTATGCAATCTTCTTGCAATGACAACCTACGGTCTTCCTTAATTGTTGGGAAGAGGAAGTAAAACACCAAAATGAAGCAAATAAGAAAGTAAAAGTAGAGGAAAGTAAAAGAACACCAGAATTTAATGTGAAAAAATCTGAAATCGAGAAAAAATCATGGAGATACACTACACCAAAAAATTCACTATGAAAATGAAGAGAAATAGGTACAGATCTCTCTTCTCTCTCGTTCTCTCCTTACTTCGATCTTCTCTCTTGCATCATCCTTGCACTTTAAACATAATAGAAAGCAATTAAATAACACCTAGGGACACCACCCTTCAGAAAAAAATGAGAAAGAAAAATGTCTAGTCCACCTCAAAGCATTGTGGTGCAAGATTGGAGCACTGCGACTCTCAAGCCTCTGTCATCAATTCATCAAATGATGTTGCAACACTCAAACCTGCAGCGATACGACGTCGAATCTAGGGCATTGCGGCGCTATGCTCTCTATCATTTCTTCAAACAAACACTATATATCGAAGTGCTTAGGAACACAGTATCGAGCACTCAAGTATATAATGATGAGGCATTGTACAAAAAAAAACCTCTATGCAAAGCACCGAAACCCAAGCAGGGGGTTTTAGAGCACGATAAATAGACTTGAGGTCTGATGCAACAGTACAACCTGATTGATCAACACAATCAGATTCTACACAGACTAGCAATAATCCCCTCTACTCTCTACCTAATATAAATTAGCATATCTAAAATAATGCTTGAAATTATATATAATTTCATGAAACATATGTGAATTTTCTTCACTAATATCATTTGCAATCTACAATATTTTATTTCATTCTATTTAAGAAAAACAAATACTCCATACAAATAATTTACATGAATATAGTTGCAAGAAGTATAAAACATAATAATATTAACTTCTTCTTTTTTTTCTTTGGAGTATGGGTTCTAATGCTTCAATTAATGTTTTAGACTAGAGTGGAGAATTAAAGAGAAGATATGTAGGCAAGGGTCTGGTAACGCAGTGGACAAGATGGGGGTCTTGGAAGTTGGAGCTTTTGGTTATCCTTTTCTCTTCGTTTTTATTGTAATATTTTCTCTATTACATGCTCTTTCAGTAGGTGGAGAAAGCTATGCCTGTATTTCACTTGGGAAGAAAGCCCATAGCTGAATATATAGGGACACAAAGAAAGAGAAAGCTAGAGAGATGAGAGAGAGAGAGGAAGAGAGAGAATAAATTGAGAGCTTTTGAAAATTAGGTTGAGAAAGTTATGATGTGATATTATTTTTGATGATGTTTTATGTTTATATATATTGTGGATCATTCTCCAGAAATATTTGGTTGAGGTAATTTTGTTGACTAACAAACAGAGGGTAGGTTGTTCTCTATTTTTTTTAATATAGTTTTTTTATATAATATAAAATATGTGGAAGATATATATATATATTATATTTTGATAATTTGACCAACCGAATTTAAGAAATTTTCATCCATTTATATTTAAAATTTTTTATTTATACATCTCACCAAATATGTATATGAATGACATTTTGTAGACTTTTTAAGGATACCATAAATCAAATTATTATAATTTATAATCATTTTGTCAAATAAAAAAAGTCCTGAATTATGACTTTGACTTTGTTTATGACAGCTTTTGAATTAAAATAAATTTTTTTGTCCTAAAAAATTATTTTAGAAAGCAATAAAAAAAATTGTCCCACACGAAGTCTAAGGGATCTTAGATTTGAAGCTTTCGTGTGTGTGTATATAGTTTGAAGCCTTCGTATATGTAATGTAATATGTGTGAGTTTGACTTAGGCTTCGTTTGGAACGGTTTTTTTTCCGCTTCTTAAAGCAGCTTTCTAGTATAAAAATTTTAATTTTTATACTAAAAAGCTGCTTCATTAAGCAGTAAAAAAGCCGTCTCAAACGAAGCCTTAAGCTAGCTTTATTTGAAACAGCTTTCTTAATGCTTATTAAAGCAGCTTTTTAGTACAAAATTTTAACTTTTTTGCTATAAAGGTGCTTTAAAAAATAGTAAAAAAGCTGTCCCAAATAAAACCTTAATTTGCTCAAAAGCAAAAAAACAAAAACACGAAGTAATTTTTTTGAAAGAATTACAATTAGAAAAATAAAAACTTAAGCTCAAACCATTGGTTTTGACTTGTCATTATCTGAGGGGGTTAGCTTTGACTTTTTGCAATGTACTTTTTGCATTAGTCACATCGGACGACTCCTACCGTTGATTTGGGCATTTGAGATCAGACGATGCTAATTAATTAGCATTTAAATACAGAATATTATTTAATTAAAAAAAAAAAAACAGAGAGAAAACCAAATGTATTGAACAGAACAGAAGACTGAGAAGAGTATTAATTGCGGGTCATGCATTAATGGTAATAAAAGACATTATTAATATAAATATATTCTGATTTCTGAATTCAGGATAAATAATTAAGGGTTCTGATCTTTTTGGGATAATATTATTGATGGGTCATCATAAATTTTGTTTCATCAAGCACAATTTTTTAATATAGTTGAAAACTTCAAGATTTTAATTGTAGAATCAAATTATTTTCAGTTTTTTATTTGCTTATGACAAGTCACTCAATTGCAAGATGATTAAGACACTTAAATGTTAAAAGAATGATCTACCATAAAAAAATTAATATAAATTATCAGATTGAATGTTTTGAAATTTTTATTAGATTTACTAAAATGTCACTCTCAAAAGTTATAAATAGGCACATATTTGTCATATATATATAAAAAAAAAACCTTGATTTTAATAAGAGAAAGCTTGAAGATATTAATTATAGCTTTGAAGTTTTACCAAATATTTAACATAAATGATCGTCATCAGTTAACTTGACCACTGATATTAATTAGACGATGTTAGAATGTTAACGCATAATCATTATTGCCAATTTGCCATGGTCCAACCTCATTATTCGGCTGATGACTACCATTGTACTTCATTCACTGTCGTTAGATCACCATCGTTCGATTGTTGTTGTCTGACCATTGTCATTCGCCTGTTGTCATCCTCAAACACTGTCATTTGATTATCATTATTCGTATCATAGTTCAACCACCATCACTCTGCTGCCAATGTCTAATTGAAATTAATATAAACATCGACACTGATACATTTTCAAAAAATTATCTTGATCGGGCACGAATCTCGAAGCAAAATCAAGTTGGAAACTTCCGAAATTACAATTGGGACCATCTGAACTCTGATTTCAACAAACTTATAGTTGAACTGAGCGTCCTAGAAATACAAACCCAACCACACCAAACTCGATTTAATCCTAGCCTAAATGGGTC